GAAGGCCCAGTTAGGATATCCACATTGCTCTAGAGCCTGTCTTGTGTGGGATTTCTCCTTCTGCCTGGCTCCTGAGTTAGTGAGGACGCTGTCTGCTCTGTGGTACAGAGTCCTGATGACTCCTAACTTGTGCTCCAAAGGGTGATGGGAGTCAAACTGCAAATACTGGTCTGTGTGGGTGGGTTTGTGGTACACCTCAGTTTGCAAATGTCCTCTATCAGAGACTGAGACAGTGGACAGTGAGGTCTCAGTTTGACATCCATTCATTTATCCATCCATCCATCTGTCCATCCATCCATTCATCCATCCACCCATCCATCCATCCATCCATTCATTTATCCATCCATCCATCCATCCATGAAGTCAGGTCTTGGGGGCAGCATCTTGAGCAGGGAGGTCCAGACATCTCTCTCCACAGCCTCTTCCAGCTCTTATGGGAGGACTCCAAGGTGTTCCCAGGACAACAGAGAGACGTAGTCTCTCCAGTGTGTCCTGGTCTCCTCCCAGTTGGACATGCCAGAAGCACCTCCCTAGGGAGGCGCCCAGGGAGCATCCTTACCAGATGAACCACCTCCACTGTCTCCTCAGGATGTGGAGGAGCAGCAGCTCTACTCCGAGTCTCTCCTGATAACTGAACTTCTCATTTCTCTTCACTCCATTAAAGCTGCATCAGCGTTACTGAAGGAGAAGCTTCTTAACTTCAGCTGCCGTCTGTTGAGAAGCGTTCTTCTCTGAAGATGTTGGCAACACCTGATCTGTCAGGTGAGTCTTGGATCCTACAACTTCTTGTGTCTTTCAAACTCTGCTTTAAAAAATAAAACCAAAGACCACAGGTCAAGAAGAGCCCTTCGGTTGTTGACGGTGGTGAAAGTCACGTGACCCGGGTTGGGTTTGTCGCCGTTCGTAGGTTTGAATTTCAACCTCTAAAGCTCCTCCATGCAGGAAATGACATCAGCTGGTAGGTGAAGAACTGAAAAGGAAGTGGGGTCTACAGCTTTTGCATCTGTGCATCTGACAGGTTGTCCAAGACGAGCTCTGGTGTCAAATTTACAGAAAAGAGCAGCAGAGCAGGTTTATGACCCTCTGAGACCAAGCTCT